TTTTATTGGCAAAATTATGCGGCAGATATTTAATGTGGACCATTCCCTTCAAATATTTTAGCACAAATAAAATAAGAAAATTGAACTACAAATTATTGCACAGAGTTAATCTTTCTAGCAACTTAAATTTAAAAATGGCGTTTATTAGTTGGTGTTGTGTGGAAACTGTGGCTAATTGTAATTATTTCTCTGTATTTTACAAACGTATCATTTGGGTTTTATAACATCTATAAAGGGAAAGAAAGAATATTTTCTGATCTTTAACATTTTGCAACGTTTCGCATTCACAAAATTACCTTAAACAACATGCGACCTCTTTATTTTTAGATATTGCTCAAGAAATTAAGCAATATCTACATAGTATTTCTGCTTTAATCAATGCTAAAACATTAAAGGCTGTTTTATCATTAAAGTTTTTCAAAATGGGCGTATATATTTTTCAAAAACAATAGAATTTCTCAGTTTCAACATTTGATATGTTGTGTTTGTACTATTTTTATATAGGGCTTAAATGATTTGCACATCAATGTATTCTGTCTTTATTTACATTTAGTCCAAACTTTTTTGTAAAATCTCTTAAACATGGAAGGTGAACCTGAACTGACCCCAACACATATTTGAAAAATGGTGTCCGAACCTAACCAAACCCAACATGAGCAGTTGGGTCTCGTCTGGTTTCAACTAATTTCTCAAGCTGTGCTACATAATGTGATGTTAGCAGCGATAGAGGAACCTCGCTCTGCACATTTGTGCTTTATCTAATCTAACATCTAGCAAAAGACTCCCATCCAAAGCCTGCATAAAAACATTATCTAAACCCTGTGCTATTAGGAGAGCATGACTGCAGAGCTCAGGAGAGGAAGTTTGATTAATACACACTCATGAACCATCATAGGTTTTATGCCTCGCTTACGGAAAACTGATTACAAATGGGAACATATTTTACTGCTCTTTTGTAAATTTTGCTTTTAGCACACCTGCCTTGTTAGGAGTTCTTGATGAAGAATAATGAGTGCGTTTACATGCACTCAATAATCCGATAACTGCAGAAAATCAGATTTGGTCAGTAATCCGATCAACACGTTTACATGCACTTGGGTAATCAGATAATGGGGAAACTCTGGGTCTACATGAATCAGACAGTAATCAGATTTCCGCTTTGCAACCAGCCAATAAACTTACAGAAGACGACGTGGTGTAAACATAACGTAAAACTCAAACTTTATGCCGCGGCTTTTTTTAAACATTGCATCACTTTACCTGAAAATATGATCATAGATCATCTAAAAGATGAAGAATATTCAAATCCTTCATTTCGTGTTTGGTTTCAGCGGCGCTTCCAAAGTGTTTTGCTGCGTCTTGCGACATCCACCGCCTGATCTCGCGCATGCGCAGACTGAGAAATCCGATAGAAATCAGATTAAGAGTTTAACAAGTAGAAAAAATTAACATTTCCTTTTAATTCACTACATCTCATTGGCTGTTTTCACATGCAAAGATTTTTGCCAATCTGATTGAATACAGTCAGATTACAGTTTGAGACTGAGATGTTTATCTGCTCACTCTACTCAACAATCTGAAAGTTCTGTTTACATGCTCACTACAAGTAATCAGATCCAAAATGACATGCATGCATAGAGAACCGCTTAGTGTAGACGTTACCATGACAACGAGCATCACGTGAGTCCAGTCAGAGTGAGACGAGTTTTCAGCTGGCGCACTTGTGTTTTTATTTACTTTAAAATTATGGCAGGAAAACGTCCTTCACATGTATTAAAGAAGGCCGAGAGGAAGACGTCGTGTTCTGAGACACATAAGCTGGACGTCCGTCCCACCGCCGTCTGTTAAAGATCAGAGCATAAACTTCGTCTCCTCTGCAGACCAGTTTCTGCTCCGCCATGTCGAACGGTATAAACTTTCACTATGACGTGACAAACATGATCAGAACGGACTTAAACTTTCTGATAGGGAATGTAATCAGATACAGGTGTTTATACTGATACTCTTCTACTATTTAACAAATTATTCTATTATTCTATTCTATTCCAATTGAGCTATTAGTCGGATTATTACCGGATTATTAGGCTGTATGTAAACATGGCTATTGCCTGGCTTGAAATACTAGTTTTATATCCACTTATGTCTTTCTTTAAGCATAGGTAAATACACGTACTGAAAGATTGTATGCAAACAGTGCCATGAAAAAGTATTTACTTCTCTTTTTTTTACTTCTATTTAGATCTTCAAACAAAATTTAATACAACACAAAGACAACCTAGGTGAACACAAATTACAGTTATTAATTATTTCATTTGTTGAAGGAAAAAAAAATCAACTGGCCCTGAAAAAGTAACTGTCCCCTTAGTTACTCAGTCACTGGGATCAAATAAACTAGGCACACCTAAACTTACTGCCAGCCATATTGAATATAAACATCATTTACATATATGGGTTATAGAAAAGATAAGAGACTGTTATATCAGTCTGGCAAGGGTTTCAAAGCCATTTCTCTGGGACTCCACTGAACCACAGTGAGAGTCTTTATCTCCAAATGAAAAAAGCTTGGAATGGTGGTGAAACCTCCCAGAAGTGGCTAGCCTACCAAAATTCCTCCAACAGCACAATGAAGACTCATCCAGGAAGTCACAAAAGAACCCAGACAAACAACTAAAGAACCGCCGGCCTCGCTTGCCTCCGATAAGGTCAGTATCCATGATTCCACCATTAGAAAGAAGCTGAGCAAAAATGACATCTGTGGGAGAGCTGCAGGGCCAAAACTACCGCCAAACAAAATAATGTAAAGGCTCATCTTACATTTGACAAAAAACATACTGATGACCCCCAAGCCTAACACAGCATTCCACAAGAAGAACATCATACCAACAGTCAAACGTGGTGGTGGTAGTGCTTGACTGTGAAAGGATGATTTGCCTCTTCAGGGCCTGGACGACTTGCCAGAAGTGACAGAACCATATTTTCTCCTCACTACCAGAAAACCTGCTGGCGAATGACTGGTTATCAGTTCATGATCTGAAGCTCAAGCACGAATGGTTTACGCAGTAAAGACAATACTCAGACAGTCCACTTCTGAATAGCACAAAAGAAACAAAATGAAAGTTCTGGAGTGACTTGAAGCCCATTGAGATGCTGTGGCAGGACCTCAAACAGGCAGTTCATGGTCCTCCAATGTGGCTGAATTAAATTTCCTCCACAGTGATGTGAAAGGCTGATCTCCAGTGATAGGAAGTATATGGGTGTAGTTGTTGCTGTTTATTAGATTTAGGAGGGCAATTTCTTTTTCACACAGGTGAATTAGGAGTCGCAAAACTTTTTTCCTTCAATAAATAAAGTGACAAATTATAAACTGTTTTGTTTCCCCATGTTCTCATCGTTTTGTATTATGTTTTGTATAAGAGATCTGAAATCATTTATTGTGACAAATGTGTGAAAATAGAGGGCAAATACTCCCAGAAGGATAAGCGGTTTAGATGTATGTATGTATGTATGTATGTATGTATGTATGGAGTTTGTACCCCACACTTTCTCAGGTAATACCTGGAACTTGATGAGCATTTCAGTGTAATTTAAATAACTAATAAACTGTCCTGGAACTTACCATAATGTTACCACACACTTACCTCACTAATAACTAGAACTTAGGGGAAGGTCAGTGAGAGCATTACCAGCTGTAGCACGTGGTGGAATTTGAGTTCCTAAGCTTAGCAGATAATCCTTCTGGAATTTCATGCCCATGTGAAAGTGGTTTATTTTCTCTCTGCTACCTACGGTAAGAATTTTATCTATTATTATTGTTTATTATTGTAATTCTGAATACCCTAATGCTTCTTAACAAATATTCTCAATGAATAAATGTATGTAAAGTTAAAGATGGCTACACTGTTAGAAATAAAGGTTCTGTGCAGGTACATTTTTGCTTCATCAGGGTACAAACAGTGTAAATGTTCCCTCAAAGGTACAACAGTGGTTTTAAGGTCCAGTTGTCAAGTCAAGTCAGGCTTTATTGTCATTCCAGCTGTATACAAGTACAATGAGATGAAACAGCATTCTTCCAGGACCAACACAGGAACACAAGTGTGAGACAATACAACAAACACAGAGCAGACAGTACAGTATAATAAATAAATATGAAAGACTTACAATAAATACCAAACAGAGCACAGGCAGTACACAGTACTGAGAGCATGTGGAGCTGTGTAAAGGAGGATGTAACATACTATGACGTATTAACAGCTTAGCAGATAGCCTATCATATATGAGCATAGCAGTCACTGAGGTAGCAACCAGAGCAGCAATATACAGTACACAGTATTTGGTTGATACAGTAATTCTAGCAGCTAACATTGTTAAAGTGAAGTAAAATGTATGAAAATGCAAGTATTCAGATCTGCAGTCATATGAAATTAAGTGTTTCAGTGAAATGCAGTAATTATATTGTACATTTTTTATTATATATATATATATATATATATATATATATATATATATATATATATATATATATATATATAATATATAATATGTATATATATAATATGTATAGTGTACCTTAAATATGTTTTTCCAGGTGAAAACTTCGTATTTGTACCTTTTCATAACCGAATTTTTAAAAACAGAACAATAAAGTAAACCACCCCAGTGACAGTTTTGTACCTGCTTTCACTCGCAATACTTGTGTTGAACATTTGTCACGTCAGTCACCATTAAATACTGTACTGTACTATAATATGCATATGTCAAAAATTGTGTAGAAGAAGGTTAAAAATAAGGTATTTTTATAATGACTAGGGCCCAGTTTCCCCAAAGCATCTTAGTGTTAAGATCATCTTACCTGCTAGAGTGAGTGTTGAGTGTGATGCTCATTCTACCTTTAAGGAATCATCTTTGTGCTAAGATGCTTTAGGGAAACCCAGCCCTGTTCTGTTTTGTGATTTTCTCTCTTTTCTCATTCTTTTTAAGGTACAATGAACTCCATTTTGCATAAGAGACAGTCTGCCAGTGTTGGACTATTTCTCTCTTTGTCTGTCTTCATCCTGAGCTGTGAGAGCGGCAAAGTTCTGGTTTATCCAGTGGACGGCAGTCATTGGGTCAACATGAAGGTGCTGATCGAGGAGCTGCACTCCAGGGGTCATAATATCACTGTGATCCGACCCAGTTCCAGCTGGTACATCACAGAACACTCCCCTCTATATACGTCTATCACAGTCCCTGATGGAATTGACAGTTTGGGTGACTTTATCGAGGAGTACTTTAATAAGATGTTAGAAATCCAGAGAGGGAAAGCGTCCACTCTGGCATTTTTAAAGGTTCAAATGAATTTTTTCTCCATGGTCTCAAATGCACATTTAATTGCATGTAATACAGTGAGCAATATCATTGAGGATAAGGAGCTGGTTAAGAGGCTTCAAGATGAACAATATGACCTTGTTCTTACTGATCCAGCCATCACAACTGGCGTTGTCTTGGCCCATTACTTGAAGTTACCTCTGGTACTGAATGTGCGTTGGATCATCAGTGGTGAGGGTCACTTTGTCATTGCACCTTCACCACTGTCCTACATCCCTGCACCAGGCACTGGCCTCTCAGACCAAATGACTTTCTTTCAAAGAGTTAAAAACAACCTTTTCTATGCAATTATTCTGTTCCAAAATACATTTGTGGTGGGGCCACATTACAAAGCTCTATGTGATAAATACTTTGACGAGGACTGTGACATTGTAAGCCTTCTCCAGGAGGCTGATATTTGGCTCATGAGGCTCGATTTTGTGTTCGAATTCCCCAGACCCACCATGCCGAATGTTGTTTATATGGGTGGATTCCAGTGCAAGCCCGCAAAGCCCCTCCCTGAAGACTTGGAGGCTTTTGTGCAGAGTTCAGGAGAACATGGCTTCATCATCATGTCTTTGGGAACAATGATAAATAGTCTCCCAGCTGAAACAGCCGGAGACATTGCTGCCGTGTTCGCAAAACTACCTCAAAAAGTCATCTGGAGGCATCTGGGACCAAAACCTTCCACTCTGGGAAACAACACTTTGCTGGTGAACTGGATGCCACAGAACGACCTCCTGGGACACTCCAAGATCAAGGCATTTGTAGCCCATGGAGGAACCAATGGAGTCCAGGAGGCCATTTACCATGGAGTGCCTGTGCTCGGCATCCCATTGTTCTTTGATCAGTTTGATAATCTTATGCGGATCCAAGCAAAAGGAGCAGCAAAAATTCTCGAGTTGTCTCAACTGAATGGCCAAACTTTTGAACAGATGCTACTGGAAGTTCTCAGTGATGACTCTTATAGGATCAACATGCAGCGACTCTCCAGTCTACACAGAGACCAGCCTATGAAACCTCTAGACTCAGCTGTCTTCTGGATTGAGTATGTTATGAGGAATAAAGGAGCCCCTCACCTGCGCACAAAGGCCTATAGGATGCCTTGGTACTCCTACCATTCAGTGGACGTGATTCTGTTTCTGCTTAGTATAGCAGCAGTGCTGACATTCACCACAGTAGTATTCATCAGATGTGTCTGTCGTCGAGCGTGTGGTAAAAGAAAAGTGAAAAACGAGTGAATTACCTTATTTACTGGTTTTATTCTCAAGTCAGTTGTAATAATGTTTGAGACTACATTATGACTAATACTGGGCTGATAAGACATTTTGAAAATTCAATAAATTGGGATAAAATTCTCTGCAAACATTGATTTTTTTTTCATTAACTCTTAAAACCGTAGGTATTTTACAGTTTCATTTTCAGTATATCTTGGACGGTTTCAATTTGTGCCTTTTCATTGAATCAGTTTTACAGACCAAAAAATGCATATCAAGCTTTGATAATGTAAACATTAATATTAATACAGTCTTCTAGAGCTCATGATCATGTGGTTTGTTTGCTTGTTTTAAAGCATGTAAGTAGAACTCCACATGCTTTTTGTTGAACTTTCTTAACCCCTTTAAATCCCGAGCATATTACATACTAAGGCTATTCAGTAACTACAGGGATTCCAATGCAAACTGGTTAAGCTATTCTTAGGCTGTCCTAGGGTTTCAGTCGTGTGATTTTTCTGTTGTGGCTGCCATATTTGGGACCGAATTTCTGTCTTCACTTCTCTATATGAATGTAACTAGAAGTTAAAGATGGCTAAAATTACTCACCTTATTTTGGAAGAGAAAAAACGTGACCTCAACTAAGTTGATAAAATAGGCTGTGATCCTTATACAGATTCCCCTGAAGTCCGGCTCCCACTGAAACTGACGGTGTAAGGGCCCAGCCTGCGCCACCGGCTGCCAGCAGAGGGCAATGGCGGCACAGTGCCATAACTTCAGGGAACTCCAATTCCCAGAAGTCCTCGGGCTGATTAGGCCCAACCTGACACACCTGTGGACTCCTCTACTTAAGGCTGTGGCAAACAGCAGCCTTTGTCACACCTTTGTAGAGGGGTGACCGGTATGGTACGCAGCTCAGGTGGATATTTAAACAAAAAGAAAAAAAAGAAAAGAGGGCTGGAAAAAACAAAAGAGAGTAATTGTACCAAAACTGATGGCTACAAATGGCTCCAAGCCATACAAAAGGTATTTGCTCAACTAAAAGCAAACAAGTGAAACATAAAGTCTGCCTTCCCTTCATAATTACAGTGGAAGTGTCTTTTGTTTTCTCATTATCTTTTATTTCAAGTTTCTAGTTCAGCCTTTGTTTGAACACGCTGCTTTCAGCGTTTCCTTTGTTTGCCCTTTTTCCCGCCTGTTTATTTTCCATTCCTTGAGGTGTTTTTACTGATTGTCACCTATGCTTCCTGAAAAAACTCATCATAGGAGGGTAATGACATCAGCTAACTAACACAGATGTGAACAATGCTGGCCTTCAGAGAACTTTAGCTGATGTTAACAGCCGAGAGATGAACAGTCGTCCCCCTAACGGAGCTGCAGACAGCCTGTATAACCTTACTCTCTGTTTCTGGAGATTTAAATGACGTTTGAATGTGGAAACAAACCTTAAATATAGGACTGAATGTCATGGGCTGGTAAACTAGTGCAGTTAGTATAGAGTTCCCAACTCCAGTCCTGCAGCCCCTGCACTGCATAATTGTGGTTCCCTGGTTAAAATACCTGATATTACATACCTTGAACTGACCAAGGTGTGAACAGCAGAGGAAAAACAATCAATACAGTACAGGGGCTCCAAGAGTGAAACACTGAATTAAAGGGCTGTGTGTCTCTCGTCATTCTCAACTTTTGTTGCGTCTTGCAGGTGAATCATTCACAGCTTAATTGAAGGCATCGCGCAGCGCAGTCACTCCCTGATTCGGTCCTCAGAATGGCAACACCTATACAGTGTGAGGTCACGCGAAACGCAAGAATAGAAGTGTGTAACAAAACTTTGGGCCTACTGGTGGGCTCTGGCCTTTAAGGGGTTAACAGAATTACCCAGTGTCTGTCTTTGAGTCACATTGGCTAGAAAAATGATAATCTCATTGTCATTGCGACTCTGATCTCCTATGTCTTCATGCATTCTCAGTGTTAAAAAAAAAATGCATTGGACTTGATGTGAAGATCTCAGAGCACTAACTAACTTCACTTCATGAAATGATTTCAAAAAGTCTAAACATTAAACTGTAATTTTAGCTGGAAAATATTGTTTCTTATACCGTTTTTCCTGTGTGCGAACACACCAGCATGACATCCACACCATGTAAATGAAGCTAAACCTGTTTTGAACAGAAAATTGGTCCCAGCCTTAATTATGATGATTGTGTTTCTACTTTAAAAAATATATATTAGCCTATAAATCAGTGGCCAGGCTAGCAGTGAGGATTGACACCACAGGGATTCCCAATGGTTATATGCTGTGTTTGCATAATGCATGCTGGGTATTATTGTGGGGGAACACGGATGAACATAAACATAAATGCCATTAAATCATGAATTCTGTCAAACCAGTGAGGCTGACAGATATAAAGCCTAGAAAACTGCACATGCACAACAACAAATAACATATTAAACTCTAGTTTTAGACCGGCATGCTCATTTTAAAACATTTTGGGAACAACATGAGGTTACATGAGATTTAAATGTGCCTGAAAACAGCTCTTCCTTTTTTGTGCAATGTGGTGATGATAAAATTCACCTTGCTAAATTCTAATAAATGTTTGTGAAATGAATTTGGTTCTACATAAAAGGCAATTTTGTGTTAGTGAATTGTTTCTATGTCTTCATTCTGCTTCTGGTTTATCCTGTGAATGGGTCAGCATGAGGGTACCGAAAAGCAAGCCGCATTCCAGGGGTCTTAACATCACTGTGATCCAGCCCAGTTGTAGTTTTTCACAATTTGGCTCAATGGTCTGTTGTCTCAGCATGCAGGCAGCATAAAAGTCACCCCTGGATGCTACAATCTACTACTCGTTAGTGCACACAACTAGTTTTATCTCCAAATGGAATCACTGAAACAACAACAACAACATACTGGTCCAGTGATTTTGTTCTGAATATTAGTAACAAAAACATTTATGAAACTTGCTTTAAAGCCTTTTGCTGTGTCGACATCTGGTTTCTTTCATACAAATAAAACAAAGCAGGGAAAAATGTGAAAATGAGGTAAAGGAGGAACGTCTCCTAAAGGAAAAACAGGGTCCACACTGGCCATGACTTTGACTTGTTAGAATCTCTGCATGTGGTCCGTGGAGCTCTTCCACCAGATAATTGGGCTCCATGCTGTAGTGGTGTCTGGTAACAAAGTGGTTTAAAGCAGAGGGTGGAGGAGGAAAACGACTCTCTTCAGCTCTCGGATTACCATACTAAAGAAGTCTGAGCTTTTTATATGTTAAAGAAAACATAATGAGAAGTACTTCTTCACATTCCTATTGACTTTCAACACATTTTTCCCACATTTAACTGTGGGCCGGAATCAGGTTTCCTGTGGGGTTTTGCCTGTGTATGATGATCCAACACACACTGCTCATAAACATGGAATCTCTTGTCATGGAAACAGTTTCTGTTTTGTTTTTTGTTTCATTTTGTTTCATTATTTATTTGATACAGTGTAGATTTCAATAACATTAAATAAAGACCAAACAGCATGCTTAAGTGGTTCATTATTTAAAGGGACAGATACTGTCGCTTACTCACATCTTGGTGGTGCCGCAGCAGTCTCTAGAGCAAGACTTTGTGGTTGAACGGCTTGGAAAACCCCTTGCTGATGTATATAGAAGGTGGGAGGAACTTTTAAAAGCTAGAACTGCTTTGGGATGGATTTTTGAGTTTGGGGTAGCTGTTGAATGAAGAAACAAGACAAATAGCTAACATTACTGCTAGAAAGTTGAATGTCTAATTGCAGCTGTTCAACTGTAATAAGCTTCAAATTATCACTACAATGGAGACAGTGGATTACTCAAAACTACGAAACTGACCTGACGGACGAAGAGGACCAGTGAAAAGCTGAAGGTAGCAACATACTTACCTGGCTATCTAATAACCTTACCTCAGTTTGGTTTATTTTCTCTGGCTGAGAGAGTTAAAAGACACCTTTTTTTTGGTGTCCATTTGGTTCAGCACTAATACTAGCTTGGTTGTATTTATTATGGTATAGATCAGAGGCGAGCAGTATAGATTGGTTGACGCCACAGGGATTCTCAATGGTTGTATGTATTTGTTTAATGCATGCTGGGTATTGTAGTGAGAGAACAGTGATGAATTAAACACATCTTTTTTTACTTTGAGTGATGTTTATTCTATTAAAATAAGCGATTAAACATTGTTTTGGTAGTGAAAAACAATCATAACACCACCGAAACTTTACAAATGTTTCAATAGTGACTGTTTCGGTAGTGACAATTTTAGATCATGGGATGCAGCCTCACTTCCTAGTTTAAAATGCAGGGGTGTGGCTAAAATAAGACTCTTTTGTGTTTCGGTAATGACTTGAGACAGCAATTTCTTTTATTTAAAAATTTAAACACAAATCTAAATCTTTCAACTTCACTTTAAAAGAAACCAAAACGATTTAAAATATATATATTAAGCATTTTCACCTCCTAATAAAAAGCCCTGATAATTTTATTTATACACACTTATGTTTCTTATTACTCTAAGCTAAACTCTCTAAAGCCTTGAGTTTAAACAGACCATAACATTATCCTTGTAAATATTTTAAGATCTAAACACGTTTCATTGTTTTACATATAGGGTTTTATAGTAGTTATATGTGTACTTAATGTAATAAAAATGCCATTCAAGCAATAGACCTTGCAATTCATACCACCTCCTACAGAGGGTGCCAGTGTTTCACAAAGTAAGACGATGCTGCTGTAAAGTGAAATAGGTACCTTTCTGGACATTTAAGTGATTTTTCCTATCATTATTCATTCATAATGGAAATTGAATAGGTAAAAGGAAAGATATACATCATTCATGCATCACTGGCCAGTAAATCATTCCCAGATTTAACGCCATCACTCATAGGAGCACACCTGTTATTTTCTGTATTATAAATGGATATGCCTGTCCTTTATTATGTAGTCATTGTTTTATTAAGTATTTGGTAGGAAAATGTTTTCTAACTCACATGTGTTAATCTAAAA